TAGTTGTATGACTTCCATTCAGTTCTATTTCAGGCAGTTCTGAATGATGGTTATTCTGTAGTTTAGTTGTAATTTTGATGTGGTTGTGGGAGGAGGCAAGTACTGTATTTACCTACGCCACCATCTTGACTGAAGTCCTGATCATGTGATTTTTATCTTTCATATTGCTTATGTGATGTTTCACATTTATTAATTTGCAAATATTGTACTTAATATTACACTTGCCTTGCATGCCTGTATTCCACTGGTCATGGTGTATATCTTTTTAATGTATCATTGGATCCAATTTGCTAATCTTTTGTTGAGAATTTTAGCATCTATGTTCATAAAAGATATTGGCCTATATTTTTCTTTCTCTGTAGTGTCTTTATCTGGCTTTGGAATAGAATAATGCTAACCTCATAAAGAGCTTGTAAGTCTTCCTCCTCTTGAATTTTCCGGAATAGTGGGAGGAGGATAGGTGTTAGTTCTTTGAATGTTTGGTAAAACTCACCTGTGAAGCCATCCAGTCCAGGGCTTTCGTTTGCTGGGAGCTTTATTACTGTTTCGATTTCATTAGTTATCAACCTATTCAAGTTTTCTGATACTTCCTGGTTGAATTCTGGAAGACTGTAGGTTTCTAGGAATTTTCCCATTTCACCCATAGCATTTTTCTTACATTGTTCATAGTATTTTCTTACAATCTTCTGTATTTATGTGATGTCAGTTGTTAGTTCTCTTTCCTTTCTGATTTTATGTATTTGGGCCCTCTCTGTTTTTTGATGAGTCTGGCTGAGGTTCAACAATCCTGTTTAACTTCTCAAAGAACAAGCTCTTGGTTTCATTGACCTTTTGTATTATTTTTTTTAGTTTCTATGTCATTTATTTCACTCTCATCTTTATTATTTTCTTCCTTCTATTTACTCTGGGCTCTTTTGTTGTTCTCTTTCTAGTTCTTTTAGTTGTAGGATTAGAGCATTTATTTGAGATTTTTCTTATTTCTTGAGGTAGGCCTGTAATGCTGTGAATTTTCCTCTTAGGACTGCTTTCACTATGTCCCATAGATTTTGGGTTGTTGTATGTTCAATTTATTTGTTTCCAGAAGTGTTTTATTTCCTCCCCAAGATTCATTGATAACACACTCATTGTTTCATAACATGCTATTTAGCCTCCATGTGTTTGAATGCTTTTGAGTGTTTTTATTGTATTTGATTTCTAGTTCCATGCCACTGCGATCCAAGAAAATATCTGATATGATTTCAATCTTCTTGCGCTTGTAAAGAATTATGTTGTGTCCTAACAAGTGGTCTATCTTTGAGAATGATCTATGTGCACTTGAGAAAAATGTATATTCTGCAGCTTTTGATGAAATGTTCTGTAAATATCATGTAAATCCATCTGCTATAGTAAGTCATTTAAAGTTGCTGTTTCCTTATTGATCTTGAGTAGAAAGATCTATCCAGTGATATCATTGTGGAGTTTAAAGTCCCCTAGTATGACTTTATTACTGTCAATCTCTCCCTTAAAGTTCTCCAAGATTTATGATTTATACGTGTGTGTGTATACTATATATATATATAAAATACACACACACACATACATATATATATATATGCATATGTGTGTGTGTGTATTCCTATATTGGGTGCATGTTTACCAGGGTTATCCTTTTGTTGGATCTATTCCTTTAGTATTATGTAGTGACCTTTTTTGTCTTGCGTCATAGGCTTTGTTTGGAAGTCTACTTTGTCAGATATAAAATTTGCTACCCCCACTTTTCTTGTTTCCATTTGCATGGAAAACTTTTTTCCATCCCTTCACTTTTATCCTATGTGAGTCTTTTATTTTAAGGTGGGCCTCTTGTAGTCACCATATGTATGGGTCATGTTTCTATATCCATTCAGCTTCCCTATGTCTTTTAAGTGGAACATTTATTCCATTTACATTTAATGTTATTATTGATAGGTACTTATTTATTATCATTTTTATTCTTTATGCCTATGTTCCTCTCTATATATTTCTTCTTCTTACAGACAGTCCCTTTAAAATTTCTTGCAATGCTTGTTTGGTGGTAATATATTCCTTTAATATTTTTTTGTCTGGAAAGCTCATTATTTCACCTTCAATTTTGAATGATAGCCTTGATGGATAGAGTAGTCTTGGTTTCAGATCTTTGTTTTTCTTTACTTTGAATACATCATTCCATTGCCTTCTGGGCTAGGGTGTTTCTGTTGAGAAATCAGCTGACAGCTTTATGGTCACTCCTTTGTAGGTAACCAACAGTCTCTTTGTTGCTACCTGTAAGGTTTTAATTATGATGTAGGTTTCTTTGGTTTCTCTTGATTGGGACTCTGTGCTTCCTGAACTTTTTCCTTCACCAGGTTAGAAAAGTTTTGTGTCATTTCTTTAAACAGGTTCTCTATTCCTTGTTCATTTTCTTCTCCCTCTGGAACCCCTATGATGCAGATGTTGTTCTGTTTCATATTGTTCAAAGTTCCTTTAATGTGTCCTCATGTTTCTTAAGCATGATTTTCTTTTTACTTCTCTAATTTTTTTCTACCTTGTCTTCTAATTCACTGATTCAATCCTCTGTTTCTCAATTCCTCCCAGTGTGTTCTTTATTTCAGCTATGTCATTCCTCATTTCTGACCGGTTGTTTTTCATGGTTTTTATGTCTTTTTCATGCTGTTTAGCATTCTAAAACCATTGCTTTATATTCTGTTTCTAATAAAGTGCTTGCCTCCATTTCATTTTGCTCTTTTGATAGAGATTCCTCCTCTTCTTTAATTTTGGAGCTGTTTCTTTGTTTTTCCATTTGTGCTGTTTCTTTGTGTTTTTTTCTGTGTTTTGGATAAGACTGCTATGCCTCTCAGTTTTAGTGGGGTGGCCTTCATGTGGGACCCAGTATTGTAATCTTGATCTTCTGAGCTGTGTGCTCTAGTAATTTCCCTTGTATGGGTTATGTGTTCCCTCCTGTTATATTTGGGTCTTGATTGCTGTTGTTCCTTTCATGGGTGGGCTCAGCCCTCAGGCTTGCTGATTGTGAGGTTCAACCCCTACCATGTCATGACAACTGTTATACTGGTGCAGACAGAGCACAACAAAACAAGACCAAACTGAAAACACCATAAAACAACACAGCAACAAAGACTTAAAAAAAAAAGAATACTATAAGATACAAGACCAAAAGAATTAGAGGAGAATAAAAGAACTAAGAAAAGAGAATATGAAAAAAAAAAAAAAAGAAGGAAGAGAAAAGAAATGGAATAGGAATAAAAAAGAAAAGAAAGAAATGAAGTAAATTTTAAAGTAATTATAATGAATAAAATAAAACACGAAATAGGAAAAGAAAAACAGAAAAAGAAAATAATAAAATTAATTAAAAGAAAATAATAAAAAGGAAGAAAGAAATAAGAGACATAAAAAAAAAGGGGGGGGGGATACCTTTGGATTTACTACTTGTAGAGCTCACTGAATTTTGCTCCGATGTTGTTGAATCTTCCCCATGATGTGTCTGTCCTGAGTCTCCCTGGAAATTCTCTGGTGCAAACCAATATGAGTCACTGTCCCTGCCTGACCCTGGGCAACCTAACTGAAGCACAGCAGGGCAGAGCCCCAAGTAATCCAGTGGGCAGGGCCTCCATAGGCCAGAGGCTGGGTGTGCTTTGGGTCTCCCACTTTAAATGTCCCTGTTCTGAGCTGCTCTCCCTTCCCCCACAGAACTGGGCTGTGTAGGGGTATCCGGGTTCTGGCCAGGATGTTTCAAACAGACTCATGTTGGGTGTGATGCCCACAGCTTGCAGGAGGAGGTGGCAGGCACTTCCTCTCCTTCAAATGCCTCAACTCTGCCTGGCTCACTGGCACCCCCTTGCTGCCACCCCAAGCAAGAGGTGATAATAAAAATTAAAAATCAGCTCCACTTGGCACTCCAAACTTTTGGTGCATCCAACCACCACTGGGCAGGGCCTCCTCCCAGGCTCTAACCTGGCCAAATGTCCAAGTCCCCCACACTGACAGACCCAGCCGCACGGGCACAGATTTCCAGCCCAGAGCCATTCTCCCTTGCCTTGGGTTGTAGCAGAGCAGGCCAGGGCAGAACCAGCCATTCTGCATGTGGGGAAAGGGGTGCCTCTCCTGTGCTTAAGGTGGGCAGGACTGATCCTCTCTCCTGGGCCATACTGTCCAGCCCCCATCCTGCTCTCAGCCAAAAGTTCTTCAAGAGAACAAAGGTTCCCTCAGAGTCACTGCTAGGTGTACCAGACAGACCCCTCCACCAGCCCCCAGTTCTGCCACATGGCTCCTCCCACAGACAGATTCGGGTGAACTTTCCAGACTGGTGCTGTAACAAAACAATCGCTGTTTGCCTGTGGTGGTATGGTCTGAGACTCCTAGGTGAACCGAATACCACTGATTTCCACTGCCTGATGCCACATGGGCTCCCCTTCTCTTCTCTGTTGTTCTGGATTGGGGATCCCTTGTGGGGCTCTCAGCCCCACTCTCCCAAGGGGCTAAGGCTGGGCTGCCATACCTTCCCTCTGGCTTCCTAGCCACACAGCTCATCCTCTCCACATCTCTTCCTGTCCCCTCTCTTTGTTCCCCACTCACAATATTTCTGATCAGCTATACTTCAACTGCTTTTCAAGCCAGATGCTCTGAAGTTTAGCTACAAGTGTGGTCCAGTGCTGAAAGCAAGTGGACAGGGCTTCCTGATAGTCTGCAGCCATCTTGGAATCTCTCTCCAGGGGGCGTTTTTTTAGAATTGAAACCTGAAATCCATTGAATGAAATGAGTCATAAGAATTACAACTCTGCTGAGCCAGAAACATGAGTAATTTTTATCAAAGTCTTCAAAGAACACTAGATAAGCTAACGATTCAAATATGACCCCACATTTTCTATGCTAATCATAGTATGTCATTTCAGAAATATAATCCTACAGCTTCACCTTAGAAATTAATTGTATAACACTTAACAGGTAAAAGAAATTCATGTTTCATTCCATTCACTCAGAAAATGACTTACCTGGGGAGAAAAGGTCCATGTTTTGGGCTTTTTAGGTTGCCACGTGGCTCTGACGGTATGTATGTTGCTCAGAACCTGAAATGAGATTTTCCCACTTAACATAATGCAGAAAGCTCTCTGCACATCACCACTCCCGCCCCCAAACGTTAACAGTGGCTATATTGTGTGGAGCTCAGGGAGATGGGATTTTTCATTTTACTTTGTGAAATCCTATCATTTCTATTCTTTTAACATCAAGAACATACATAACTTTTTAAATGGTTAACAAAAAACAAGTGTTAAAGCAGTTATTTACAAACCAAAGAAAAAACTAATTAATAAAATGAATTCAGACTCGTATCTTTGCATTAATAATAAAATACATAAAGTGAAACACCTAATATCTGAGATAGAAAAGTACGTTTCAGGTACAAATGACCTTTTAAGAAACGTGACCCTAAGAGCATTTCCTGTGGAGTCCATCACCCCGCCCCGGAGACAGACAAGGCTAACAGCTCAGATACACAATTTTGTCTTCCTCAAGATCTCAAGGCCCATAAATTATATTTTCTGCAAGTTGTCTCTTATAAAATGTGACTGTAGAAGTTAGTCCCACAATAAATATAAAACAATGAAACTCAAAAGGAGACAAAACTATAGAGAAGAGTTCAAATTCTGTAAAGTTAAAACCAAAATTGACATCTTCCAAAGGAATAGGTAACAATTTTTATTTTCAATAAAAACATTTTAACCTGGCCGGTGTGGCTCAGTGGTTGAGCTTCGACCCATGCACCAAGAGGTTGCCAGTTCGATTCCTGGTCAGGGCATCAAACATGCCTAGGTTGTGGGCCAAATCCCCAGTGTGGGGCACACAGGAGGCGGCCAATCAACGTTCTCTATCATCAATGTTTCTATCTCTCTCTCCCTCTCCCTTCCTCTCTCTCTAAAATCAATAAAGAAAAATTTTTTTAAAATATTTTAGTATAGCACTTATAAAACTAAGCTTTAACAGTAATTCGAAGTCACCCCAAACATGTCATCTTACATCAAGTTCAGTTCACTGCTCTCCAAGCCCCTACCGGGAGGCAGTTACCAGTATCTTAGAGCAGCTGAGTGGTTTTCCACATGAAAGTCCCTATTTCCTTCAACACCTAATATACATGAATTTATTTAAACTCTCCCTAAAATAACATATATTCTCAATGTGAACTCCTAGAGTACAAAGTCCTTCTAATTACTTTTTTAAAATATGTTTTTATTGATTTTTTAGAGAAAGAGGGAGAGAGAGAGAAACATTGATGTGAGAAACATACATTAACTGCCTCCTGCACACCCTCTACTGGGGATTGAACCCGCAACCTGGGCATGACCGGGAATCAAACTGGGACCTCTCCACTGAGCCACACCAGACAGGCATTTTTGTTTGTTTGTTAATCCTTACCCAAGGATATTTTTCCATTGATTTGTTGTTGTTGTTGTTGTTGTTATTAGATAAGAGTGAAAGGGAAGGAGGGAGGGAGAGAGAGAGAGAAACATTGATGTGAGAGAGATACAGCAATTGGTTGTCTCCTACACAACCCCAACCAGGGGCAGGGATAGAACCTACAACCCAGGTACATGCCCTTGACTGAGAATCAATCCTGTGACCCTCTGTTCCATAGGCTGACGCTCTAAGCACTGAGCTAAACCAGCCAGGGCTCCTTCTGATTATTACTTAGTTTTTAATGTGAGACTACATTTATTTATTCTAAGGTCCTAGAGGAGAGGAGAATTTGGAGCTGTAAAGTATTAGAGAAAATAATGAAAAATCCCCAAATCTGTCAGAAGGCATAAACAACAGATTTAAGATAAACAAACCCCAAAAAGGATAAACCCAAGAAATGCAGGCCAAGATACATCACAAACTTCTGAAAACTAAACACAAATATCTTGAAAGCAGGGAGGGAAAAACACCAGCTCGTTAACTGATGGGGAAACTATTGGAATGACAGTGGATTCTCATCAGAAACCAGAGGCCAGAAGAAAATAGTACCATATCTGTCAAGTGTCAAAGAAAAGAATCGCCAACCCAGAATTCCATCTCCAGTGAAAATATCTTTCAGGAGTGGGGGGGAAACAGAGACACTCTCAGATCAAGAAAAACAGTGTCAGTGGCCAGCAGCACTACCCGAAAAGATGGATTAAAGGAAGTTCTCTAAACAAGAAGGATTGGATAAAAGAAGGAAACATCTGGACATCAGGAAGGAAGGAAGAACCACAGGAAGAGTAAAAATAAGGGTGAGTACTACAGATGTTCTCTTGAGATTTCTAAATTATGCTTGATCATCAAAGCAAAAATTATATTACTGTGCAATGTTGTTCTCAATGTGTGTATGTATGGAAGGGAAATATTTGAGATTATAACATTATAAAGGAGAGAGGGTAACGACAATGAAAGGGAGGTGAGGTTTCTATTTGTGACTCAAACTGGAATGGTGACACTAGCAGACTGTGGTGAGTTATGTCTGTAAACTAACACCTGGAGCAACCACTGAAACGCTGTCCAGAGATCCGCTCAACAGCACTGCAGGTGCTTCAGAAGAGACTGTGAGAGTATGTCCAAGTAACACACACCAAGGTCAGAAAGAGAAACAGGAAGAAAAAAGAGAGGAAATAAAGGCAGAAAATCCCCAGCAGACTGCCGAGTCCAGACTCCTCTCCAGTAACTGCCTGCTTTCAGATGCTTCTCAGTGCCTTCAGATAGCTGCTTTTCAAGTATGGCCCAGAAGTTACAATTTTCCCCACTGGTGAGTTGTTCTGAGAGGAGCTTACTCAGCCATTATTAGAAGCAAGCAGGGTCTCGTTAATCAGTTTTACAAAAATGCTTTTTATTTGTAACAAGGCTTAAGATTTATTAAAGAAGCACTCGAGTCAATAGCATCAGTATTCATTCTCTAACTTCTCAGTTTGGAAAGTTGACGTAAATTAGTTTCATAAATTCTATTATTTTTATGTAAAATAACTTATTATTCAGAATAAAATTCCAATCTGTGTTTTATGTTCTCATATATGAGAACAGGGAGAGGTATAGTGAAAAGTATCAGATCAGATCCAAGGGAAAGAAGGCAGTTCATCTTTTCTCGGTCACTGGCGCCACCTACTGCTCATTTGTGGCAGTGGCAGGTACTGGCAGAGTGTGGACGTGAGAGAGGGTCTCTGGAACACAAGTCTCCTCACCTACACTCAGGCCAGAGGAAAGGAGGGCACTTTGCTCCTGCCACGAGTCAGAAGTCTACTCGGAAGCAAAGCAGAACCCACCAACTCCTCCAGACTGATCTGCTTTCAGAGTCCGACCTCACTGAAGGTCAGCACCATGGAGACAGACCCGCTCTCCCTCAGCGGCCACATCCAATCCACCACCAGGTGGGGCTGGTTTTACCTCTCTCCTCTCTGCCTCCACCTCCCTGACCTAAGTCATCACCATCGTCTCTCACACACCCACGATGTTCTATGTAATTTTGCTAACTCGTTAACTAGCCCTCCCGCTGAGCCTGACGGGTGTGAACCGGATGAGGAAAGTGAGAGTGAGGCCAAGTCCTTGGTCAGCGACCCACACTCGCAGCCCGTGGAGCCGGCCAAGCCGAGGCAGGCTGGCTCCAGGTTGGTTTTCCTGAAGGCGACACTTGCTGCCCGTTCAGCGCTGTGAACAGCCCCAAACGGTCTACTTGCATCCCTTCTGACCCTCTTTACTCCATCCCCAGGGAGGAGTCAGACATCTTCCCAAACATATCAAAATCGTGTCACTTCTTCTAGTAATTCTCCTGGTTTAGGCATAAAGACAAAACTGCTACACCACGATCCACTGTGTCCCAGACTCTCCTTCCTGACGTCTCCCCTCATCCCACTCCGCACATGCCCTCGCCTCTCCACTCAGCCACCCTGGGCTCCCACTTCCCAAGTCCTTCCCAGCAGCCTCCGCCTGCACTGCTCTGTCGTCCGGGTGCCTATTTTCTTTCTCTGCACTTGTTGGGCCTATTCGTCCCTCAGATCCCAACTCCAGCATCGCATCCTCAGGGAAGTCGGACCACCGACGGGACCGCTCTCATAAACATGCAGTGCTGTCACCTTCCCTCCACACACCGTGCAGCCAACGTCCCACACATTACATGCTGCATTTTCACGTTTTATTCACCTCAAAACAAGTTCTAATTTCCCTTGAAATTTCCTTTTACCTGTTTATTTAGATATCTGTTGTTTCATTTTCTAATATATAAGGATTTTCCAGCTATCTTTCTGTTACTGATTTCTAATTCAATTCCATGAGACCAAAACCACACATTATATGATTTAAATCCTTTTAATTTGTTCAGAGGCATCTACCTTGCTGAATGTTCCATGTGCACTTAAGAGAAGCTGTATTTTCCTATTTGGGGATGAAGTATTATGCAAATGTCAATTAGATCCAGTTTGTTGATGGCGTTACTTGGTTCTTTCGCATTCTTACTAGTTTTCTGTCTGTCTGCTGTACAGATTACTGAGAGAGAAGAAGTGGTCGAGTTTCCAACTATAACTGTGGCTTTGCCCACTTCCTCTTTCAGTTCTATCAGTGTTCACTTCGTGCATTTTGAAGCTCTGAGGTTGGGTGAGCACAGTGTGGGATTGGTGCACCTTCCCGGGAAACAGTCCCTTTCATGCAGTGCACCTCTCTATCCCCAGAACCTGTCCCTGCTCTCAAGTCCACCTGGTCTGATATCAATATGTTTTGAGTGGTACATCTTTTTCCACCCTTCTACTTTTAACCTGCCTTAATTATTCCATTTAAGGTAGGTTTCTTGTACGTAGCCTGTGGTTGTATCTCTCTCACTGTGGTTTTAACTTGCATTTCTCTGTTGACTATCTCTTCATATGCCTCTTGCTTTTGCCCATTTAGAAAACTGAGCTATCTTTTTATTTCTTGAACATCCTTTACTTGTTCCTGATTTCCGGGGACAGGTGTTCAGTATCCGCCTTTACGTATGATGCCAGCTTTAGCTTATCTCGTTGCCCTGTACCAATTTGAGGATGCGTGTTGAGATTTTTTTTTTAATCATAAATGGATTTTGAAATTGGTCAAATAC